ATCTATCTATCTATCTATCTATCTATCTATCTATCTATCTATCTATCATCTGTCTGTTTATCTATCTACCTACCAGTATCCATCCATCCATCCATCCATCCATCCATCCATCCATCCATCCATCTATCTCTGCCTCTACCTCTACCTTTCTAAATAACCATTTCACTCCAACACTGTGATGGATTGTTGTTTTCTCTTAATGTGGCATTTGGGGCCTAACCATGAAAAATGGAACATTTTCTCTGGCTTAGAACAGGGGTGGGATTTTACCAGTTCGCACTTATTCGCTAGAACCAGTTGTTAACATTCTAAGCAGTTGGGAGAACCGGTTGTTAGAAGAAATTACTGGCCTAATCCTGTACAGAAAGCAGGAAGGAAACATTCTGGTGTTGCTTATAGAAACTGCCTCTCTGTTAACCCTTATTACATTCTTGGCAGGACTAGACTTCCTGTCTCAGGAACTTCTCAGGAGTTTTTTTTCCCTTCCTTTGCTGGTACTTTGCTTGTGTGGAGTGACCATTCAATGTTACAATGGCACTGAAAAAAGTGACTTATGACCATTTTTCACACTTAACAACTGTTGCAGCATCCCCACACTCAGGAGATGCCAGGCGAGGAGATCCGTGCTTCAATGTGAGTGATATTGAGTTGGCCACGCCCAGCCAATAACATGATCACCAAGCCACTTCCACCCAGTCACATGACCACCAAGCCACGCCCACCACCTAAGACTTGCCCACAGAACCGGTTGTTAAAAAATTTGAATCCCACCCCTGGCTGAGATCTTGATTAGAGCCCTCGGAAACAAATTTTATTTCTCTTCAATTTGCTTCCAGGCTTAATTATGTCAAACTTTAAATGAAGAATACCACCTATGAGACTTCCTTGTCAGGCAAAGTATCTTTTGCTTAAACAGGTTGCTTGTCCCTTGTTCCTTTTCTTTCCTTTTTTGTAAATGTAGCATTTTTCCTACTGCATACTTAATGTTATTTTTAGCTTCTAAATGAATAGTGAACTCTTCTTGTTTTTTGTAAACCATATAAACAAAATGTTTTTTTTTTACAAAATATTATTTGGCAGATAATAATTCCAGAAATAAATTTGGAACAAGATGTTGAATATTTTAAGAGATAGGCAGGAAAAATAAAAATGATTACAGAACATCTGTCTGCTAGAAACCTGAAACAGCTGTGTGAAATCTTAGAAATAGGCCACATGGATTTAAAGGCAAATTGTTAACTTTCATGGCCATCATTAAAAGATCAACTGAAATCAACATGAGAGCTTCATCTAGATCTTCAAAAAAACTGCCTTCCTTATTAATTAAACTATAACTCTCATATTCCCTAGTCAGAGTAGCCAACAAGGATTATAATGCTACATATCTGGAGAGCAACGGCTTGGGAAAGATGGTTCTACACCAGTGATGGCTAACCTTTTTGTTGTCACGTGCCGAAAGTGTACATGTGTGTGCATGAGAGCATGCACACTTGCCTGCACCCATAATGCAATGCCTGTGGATTTCCCCCCCATGCTCCCCACGCCCCCTGCGTATCCATGCATGACTCCATGCTCCCCCGCCCCCCGTGCTTGTGCACACGTTTCCCGCATGTGCCCCGCCCCCCACGCATGCACGACAGATACCAGAAAAGCAGCTGGCTAGCGGGAGGTGCGCGCATGTGCAATGGAAATGAACTGGGGTGACAGCTCATGTGCTCGCAGAGATGGCTCTGCCTGCCTCTTCCAGCATGCGTGTCATAAGTTCGCCATCACGGTTCTAGACAGTGACAGTATACTTGAGCAGCAAAAACTCATAGAGAACGAAATGCCACATTGTTACATGCTACATTGCAAGACACAAAGGAATAGCTGGCTGCCAATCAGCTGGCGGGTAGCTAGCAATGCTGGCAGCAATAGGGCTGGCAGTGTCAATGAGGCCTGGAGATGTGACAAGCATTCAGTAGCATGTATTTCAGGGAGGAGGTGGCAGTGAAAAATGGAGTAGCAGCAGATCCTTCCTGGCAGCAGCAACATTTAGTCTCAGTTTAAAAAAAAAAAACACTAGTAGGCTGCACAAGGATGCTTGGTGGGTCACAAAGTGAGGACAGGAAGCTTTGTGACCTGTAGTTTCTATAGCCAATGGCCAGGAGCTCTAGTCCAAAATATATATGGGATTTAGAGATACTGTATGGCTGAGATTAAATTATACTAGTACATGTGAGATCCAAGCTCAACTCTATTCAATCAAAAAGACCTTCACAGATCTTGAGCCACCATTCATTAGACAACTCATTTTATCATGTTTGTCTGTGAGTATCTAGAGGAAAAAACTTTGGCATTCCGAGACCTCTAGAAGCAAGCTAAAATGTAAACATATGAGTACACACTTTGATAGTGAGCCAAAATTTATCATTAGGACCATGTCTATCATGCAACAGATGTTTATGGATTATTGTTCATTCTTGTTCATGTGTTGCTCTTTAGAAAGAAATGTGTTGTTCATTGGAAATATCTTTAAAACATAGCACAAATTTGTTATATATAACTTTCCCCTCTCTAGTTTTGGTCCATCTCTGTAATTGTATTAGTCTCCTGTGATTTCTGAGTATGTTTAAAGTCCCAGCTTTCACCCAAACACAGAATTTAGAAGAGGGCAATTGTCCCCAAAGTTGTGCCTGCTTTTCAGCTCCAAATTGGAGAAGGAGAACAGCGCAACATGTTTATTAGAAATAATGGCACACTGCCCATTCTGATCGTTACGTTTGTGCCCATGAAGTAAATTTCACTATTTTCAAAAATGAATATTGACAGAGTTTGAACCTTTGGATTTTCTCGTTTCCTTTTCTGCACCCCATAGCTTCTGATACAAGCACTAAGATTTCTTAATAATGTCTGGCACTTTCTGCATCTCAATTTAACCTTCAAATTTTCAAGAATGTAGCTCTCATATTAGATGGCAGCTGAAAACATCTGGGTCCAGCTGTTAAAAATTCCAAGTTTTACACCAGCGAACTAGCAAGGGTGAAACTTCCACTTCCACTTTCTATTAATTCCTTGCCTTGCCAATGCAAAAGTCATATAGATGTACTGCCAATTTCTTTCTCGTATTGCTAAACATCAAGTGAAGGGATAGGATTGGGATATACTGAGGAGCAGTGCACTCTGTGTAGTATGGTACATGAGGTATGTGCAGAGATTTCATCAAAATAATATGTGTGTTGGGATGCCACAATAAGACAGCAAGCTTGACACCTTATATATCTGTGAGCAACATAATAAATCAACTATAATAGGAAGTTGTTCCATCATCAACATCACAATGCACATTTTATTTCCCCTCTCTTGCCTTCTCCAGACCGTGTATGTGATAGGAAATTTTGTTGTACTGATTGACATGTAGTTTGTAGCTTTATTTTTCCATCAGTGCCAAAATTTGTAGTATCTTTGAATATATACTGTAAATGTTATGGACGTGTTTTCTTGATTGTAGGAATGCCATTGCAAAGGCTACGAGCTTGGTTCTTTTCTGCTTGTTCTTTTTCTTTTCACCAGCACAAAGCTTTTGATAGCTTTAATGTAAGCCACTCTGAAAGATGGATCCACTGGTGCCCTTCTTCTTTGATTGAAGGATTTTGTTGCACTCAGAAAGATATTTTCCAACTTAATGCCAGAATTTTGTATCCTAATAGAGCTGAAACCCCTATGAAGTCTCTTGTTCAAGGTCACAAAGCATTCCACAAGGCACGAGATCTTTCACTGTACAACATCTCACCACTTTTTGCAGAAATGTACAAAACCAAGCACTACGGCCAGAATCAGTAGGGTGTATAGCAAGCCACAGTGAGTTCCAGATAATGACTTAGATGTCATGATGTCATACAAATGGTGCAGGGCTCCTTCATAGTGTGTCATTTGTGATATAAACTTTCACACACAATTTGTCATTTTCCCCTTTGCCTTCCTCTACCCACAGAGTTCTGTCCACAACAGAATTACTTCTGCTAAACCTCGCTGTATCCAGCCTAATATCTTTCTTGGGTCTACAAAAATTGAATTTATTTCCTCTTTTTCTTCGTCCTCCTAGGAAATCCTCCGCACAGAGAGCCTCTCATCTCTTGAAAGCAGCTTCACATTAGATCCAGAAGATGGACAGAATTATCCTGGTCACCAAGCAGCACACCGGTCATTGGCCAAGCAGCGATTCAGGCAGCAGAATGGGCATACATCCTTGCAAAGAGATGGACCCAGGTCTTTCCTCTTCGATCTTCCAAATTTTCCCGACTTTTCAAAAGCGGATATCAATGGGCAAAACCCTAACATCCAGGTAAAGGATTTCTGTTTTATTCTTTGAAAAAAAAAACACTTTCAAATATCAGGAACAAAGGGGGGGGAGGGGAAGCAAGTTAATAATTGGGCATTTCATACTATAAAGGAAATAAATAATATTGCATAAATCCTATTAAATATTTGGATACAATGTGAAAAAAAAATCAAAATGGTAGACGTTTTGTTAAATTCCTGTATTTTTGGTTTGTGGTATAGCTGACATCAGTATTAAATTAAATAATGCACCTTGTTGACTATTAATTGACTTGAAATCTCATTATTAGCCTTGGTAAATATCAAACAGTCTACATACAAACTTGTCTCGTAATGTGAACAGCAGAAAAGGAAAGTGGAAATTAGTGTGGGACTGATTGACTTTCTCTTGAATGATTTTTTTTTTAATCACTAACGGAGTCTCACCACAGCATCTTTAATGGTAAAATGTATACAGATAAAGGCACAGTTTCTTTCAATTTTAATTTAAATTGGCTGACTTCTCCTGAGGATTTTGGACCACAACTAAATCAGAACGAATCTTTTAGACCAACTTTGGAAACCAACTTTGTATCTTTATTCAAGTTTATCATAACTGGGTTTAAAAAAAAATAGGATAACCATTAATTGGCAGCAACAAACAAGAGATTTCTTTATCCTTTGCTGCTGTCTCATGGTCATCTGAATTTTTGTAAGCCAGATCAGGGATCTTAAATTTAGAGTCACCATTAGACCTCAAGCAAATTCTTCTGGTATCATCCCTTAGAATATTTCCAGTATTCTAAAATAGAAGGTTTGCCTGTGAATAGAACTGAATACTGTATATCTGTGCAATCTTCTCTTTGATGGTCCAGAACATGTATTCAAGTAGATACATGTAAAGTAGTCCATTTCTTCCTATTCTGTCTTCTCTATACACATTTTAGGCTCAATGTGAATGGGTATTTATTTATGCCTGCCTTGCCCATTGGCAATTCCAGATGGGAATTCTGGAAGCTGTCACTCCAAATACATCTGGATACTGAGGAAGGGCAGCTTCACTATTTCCACTTTAAAATAGCAATCATCCACTGCTTAGAAAGATTTTCTGGGATTGCATTCACCTACTGCCTGTGGAAATGAGCATAGTGCTTATCTGTTTACTGATTGTTTGCCTGCATCTGTTTCAGTAACAAAATATTCAGCTCCTCGGAATCATCTGAAAGGGTAACCCGAGCAGCTGTTACTTTTGTGCTACAGCTGCTTTTTTTAATTTGATTGCCAAATCAGCAGCCAAATGCACCACTGCACTCAAGTAAACGAATTCCCAGGAAGTTCTTGAAAATGAGGTGCTTTTAAAGATATTTCCTTGGGGAGCATTGCCCCTTCTTTCCCTCTGAGAAGCTCTTTTGTTAACGGGCACTGATTTGACACATGCCAACTCATGCAGTCAGGCTGGCATAGAAGGGCTATTCACCGGGCAACAGGTTCATTTTCTTCTCCCCGAGAAAGAAACGGAAGTCATGTGTAAGCAAAAGGACTTGGCTGCCAAGTCATTTTATGTACATTTTTGCTTTTCAAGCCTATTTAAATAGCGCCTGAGTTCCAGGAGGTCCTGAAATTAGATCTGATATTTCATTTCTTGACCTGAATGTTCCCTTTCTTCCAGTTTTTCAGTAACTATTTCCCATGCTTTCATAGAGGGAGTCCTAATAACCATTTGCCACAAAACCAAATATGACCTATTGCACTTTGAAGGCCAACCAAATCACAGTATGAGGTAGGATTTCATGAATTAAAGCCCCCTTCTTCAATTATGCTTGACGTGTTTCCTCTTTAGGCAGAGGTAGATCTCACTGTATGGTATAATTTCTTCATCAGATGTCTGTGTACGTGTAAATATACTGTAAATTTCTTTATTTCATGTAAAAACATGCATAGACATGCACAGTTTTTGCACTGAAATACAGTTGAAGTGAAAAATGTATAGGGTATTACTGGAAATTAGGAAGGTGATGTTAATACAAACAATGTATCATGCTCCTGTCTAAGTCTGAATCCAAGGAGGAAGATGAACAGCTGACAGGGAGTGGGAGTGTGGCTCCATTGGCTATGGAGGAAACTGGGGAAGGGCAAAGTCTGGCTGGGCAGAGCAGGGGAGAGGTAGAACAAGGGAGAGGCAGTTCAGAGGAACACCCAGGCCCACCCCCTCTTCATCCTAGGGCATGCAGGGAGGAACGGAGAAGAGAGTAACGTGGGTTGCTTAGCTTATAGGGGAGGAAAAGGCCCTGATTCCCTTCATTAGTCATACCTGGGAAGAAAATTTAAAAGAAATAGAGGCTGCATGCAGCAGCTGCTGGGAGCAAACATGAGTTTTATCTTGTGTTGACTTTGCTTATCTGTGTTCTTGGCGTCTTTCCAACCATGTTGAGTTTTGCTGTGCCTTCATGTCTGGAATTCTTGCTCCTGCTCTGCCAGACTAATTACCTCATTTTGCCTTGATTGGACTTATAGTTACAGTTTTTGTTGACCACATTTTGGACTTGATTCTCTGTAGTCATTTTGGACTTGATTCTCTGTTCATGGGAGCGTTTTTCTCCAGCCAGAAGGTAACCAGGACATTGGGGGCAAAGTTGGAGCTAATAAAGGGACTCTTACTGATTAACTAAATGTGTTGCCTTTGTGCCATGTCCTGAGTCATCACACAATGGTACATCAGTGTGCTTGAGGAATTTTACCCAATATGATGCCTTTGGATTGGTGGGTCTATAATTCCCAAAGTTTGAGCAGACTGGGGAAGAGTCACTTCTAGTACTGGTAATGTTGGAGTAGATGGATCAGTGGTTTGATTGTACAGATAAAATTCTATGGATAATAGAAATAGTTGTATATTATATATTTATTTATTGAAATTTGTATGCTGTTCATCTTGCCAGAGGCAACTCTAGGTCGCATACAGATATTCCACTGAAATTCACTATGAAACATTAAAATAATAAATAAGGATCATAACTTTAAAATTCAATTAAGATAAAACTCACAAATGAAGGTGAACATATGTGTCCCAGGATAATGTAGCAGGATCCAATCTGGAGCTAGAGAGAAGTTCCCTGAAGGTGGACTCCAGCCTATTTCTGGTGAAGATGGCCAACTAAACAACATGCCCAGGAAAAGATCCCAGAAGGGTTTTACCCTGGTTGTCACTTTTTCAACTTACCAATAGAAGGTATATGACTCTCCTGGGTTAGGGAGAGTCCTAAAATCATCTCACAAAATCTTCCAGGAGCTATGCTTTGAAGCACATGGCATGCCGAAGGCTGCAATCAGTTCGTTGTTGAAGAAGCAGCCATTTTGGCATTTATTTTTCAAACAGACAATAAGTTGTGCCTTTCATTTCTTAATCATTTTAAGGACTACTAATCTTTATCAAACTAAGAGAAGTTATATTTAGTCACAGCCTGTTATTCCTTTTTGAAGATCTGTACCATTTGGGGGATTTCTTCATAGTTAAACAAGAAGAAGGCTCTTAAGGTAAGCTAAAATAAGGAAATGGGGAGTATATATTTTTTTTTAAATGATGGAGAAATATAAGGGTAGAAATTTGTGGTTCTAGTTTATTATTTTTGGTTATTGTAGCTTGGTCTGCTTTGCAACGGGTGGCTAAAACTTTCCGATTTTTATGATTCCTGATTGGCCAGCAATTCTTCAGTAACTTACAAAAAAGCTACTCTTTGACTAAAGTGGGAGTTAAGAAGATATTTTTTAAAAAACTACTTCAGAAATGCAATGCAAATATGTATACAAAGTTACAAAACCACCTCTACATTGTCAATGTAGAGGAGTCAATTGCAATTTTGGAATATAAACCTGACACCAATCTTTATTAAAGGTAAAGGTTTCCCTTTCATATACATGCTAGTCATTTCCAACTCTAGGGGACACGGTGGCTCAGTGGCTAAGACGCTGAGCTTGTCCATCAGAAAGGTCAGCAGTTCGGTAGTTCGAATCCCTAGCGTCGTATAATGGAGTGAGCTCCCGTTACTTGTCCCAGCTTCTGCCAAACTAGCAGTTCGAAAGCATGTAAAAATGCAAGTAGAAGAATAGGGACCACTTTGGTCGGGAGCTAATCTTTATTATGATGGTTTAAATATAAAAGTCCCAACACAATTGAATGAAAAGTTCCAAGAAAATCTGCAATTTTCAAAATGACAAATATGGGACTTTTTCTTCACGGACACTAACAAGGTTGAGAAATCCTTGAGAAAAAAAATAAGTTTATAACTACTTGATAAACATTCCAGAGAAGAAAAAGATTTTATTTCATGAAGATAAGTTGGAAGGAGTGACTTAAACTTAATGAGTCAATTGGCATTAGGGTGGATTTTTATCAGTCTGATATTTGGAATTGAAATAAAGTATTAATGTAAAGTGGGTCTGAAAATGCATTTTTCCCCATTATATATAATGCTTAAGTAATTCTTAAAGCTTGTAAAATATTACTGAAAATGTATTTGAAAATATGTTAAGAGAAAGTTAAAGAAAAAAAATATTAGCTTAAAGAAAAGTTTAGAGTTTTAAAAATGATGTATACAAGAAGAAAAAATGATTTTATGAGGATGACTTGGAGGGAGTGATTTGATATGAGGATAACTTGGAGGGATGTATGTTAAAAGGAAGTTTAAAAATGTATTATAACTTTTTGATCTTAGAAATGTTTTTAAAGAAAAAAAAGTGTTTTAAAATAGATGGGGAGAAAGTATTTTTTCCCTTTTAATATTAGAGAATCAAAGAATTCAGTGAATTTTGTTAATATAAATGGTGATATGAAATGCAAATAGAAATATATCTTATTTCCACAGCAAGGAAGAAAAGGCAAGAATGATTAAATTCATTGCTTTATTCAAAGAGGTATATAAATAAAATTTGGAAATCACTTCTAGATTTTGTGTTGGTGATTTAAAAAAATGAAACTTTGACTCTGGTTTTGCCCATTAGATAGATTAGTTGTTATAGGAATGGCTAGTATGTACTAATGCGTAAAAGTAAAAAGTTGAGACTGTAATGTTATCTTCTACTGTGCTAAAAAGAGTTGGAAGTCAACACTTTTTTCTTTTTTCCTTTATATTCCATATTTTCTTTCCCCCTCTTTTTTTCCTTCCACCAATTTCCATTTTCCTTTATATTTTATATTTGGATAAAACAATAAAAGTCAGAATAAGGTGGATTCCAGCACGAGTCCAAAAGTTCAGAAGACAAAATTTCAGGTCCTGATGACCGACTCAGATTGAAGCCTAAAATAAAACTCACCAGGATGGAGAGGGCAGGAATAAAGCGAGTACAAGGAGGAGGTGGGGTGTTCTCTACTCCATTAGCCACCTCCAAAGCCGCCACACTCTCATTGGAGCCCCAGGCCAGTTGGCACTGTCATGGCCTCAAGGCCTATCACTTTGGGTGGGCAGGAGCTATAGCAGAAAATGCTCTTCTTCTGGACATGACCAGAGTCTCATGGCAGGACCGTGAAGCAAAGCCTCCAAGATATACCTTCTGGAACTTATTCAGGTTCATCAGTCACTGGGGGCAGCATGCTCAAATGGGCACGGCATCCCTATGTTGGTGGGGCCATGAGAGAATCTCAGAGATACCAGGGCAGGATCTAACCACAATCCAGGGGGGGAGAATGATAGATCCCCTACCAAATCACACTGCTGTTGGTCTGTCAAGATCATATATGGCGTATATCCTGAATTGGAGCCAAGATGATCTGGAATAGGCCCATGGCCTCCTCTTGGGTCACTTCTGAAGCCATACTCAGGGATGGCAGGTTGAAGTCTCCTAGAACCGTAAGTCCGGGAAACTCCATCACTAGCGCTGAGATGGTCTCCAGCAGTTCAGGCAAAGAGATTGCCAAGCCCCGGGAGGCTGATAGAGCAGCAACAATCCCAATGGATCCCATGAACCTGGCTTCAGAAACAGTGTCTCACAAGCAGAAACTTGGGGATGAAGGCCTCTGAGGGTCAAGACAGATGACCACTGCCACCCCACCTCCTCTGCCCTGGGGTCTCAGGTGGTATAAAAACCTAACCAAACTGGGCACATGTCTGAGAGGGACCCCTTCCCCTTCTGGAGTCTACCAGGTCCCTGTGATGATGCCAGGTTGGCTTTCTCCTCATCAATAAGGTCTTGAATAAGTGCTGGCTTATTATTAACTTACCAGGCATTCGCTGGGAGCAGTCAAACTCCCAGGCCTCCAGGGGTGTACTATCTAGGGGCTTGGAGTTTGCTCAGAGGGACAGAGCACAACACCAATGCTACACATCAGAGGTGTGTTCCCATGTTCCCGCCTGCTCTCCCGTAACACCCCAGTACCTAACAGCAATGTCATCACTGAGGCTGAAATCACACTCGGAATGTTTTAGGAAACTGATTATAATACAGTATTTCAAGATAATTTGTCAAAAATGCCAAGGCAGCATTTTAATTCATAATAATATGTGCAAATATACACCAATACTAAATAGTCTGTTGATAAATAAACCTGGGACTTACAGCAGAAATAATAATAATTTAAAAAAGCAAAATAAATTCAGAGCTACCTTGTGGTCCAAACATCTAAATTTTAATACGATTATAAATGAGTGGTCTATGGAAAAAGAATGTTAATGATGTATTTCCTATTTCCTTTGACTTTCCATTGGATCCAGTCTTCATTTGTTCATCTCTCCTCTTGTCTGCCTTATACATATCCTTGTTCTGTGCCTTCTTCTTCCTAATCTGTTCATTCTGCCATGCTTCCACTTTGTAATTATGTGGGAATCTCCGAACATACCTATCTGTTATGAAAGTTTTAAGAAAGTTAAAATAACCATAACAAATTGCAGAGGGGGGTTATTGATAGAAAATATACAACTCTTTCGTTGTTATACAAATCACAAACGTAATTGTAAAAGTGTTCCACGTCCTAGCATCTGTAACTTTTCATCCAATTTGCACTGAGACTTTTTTTTCTCCAATGTATTCCTTACCAGTTTGAAGCTGTCTTCTAGGCTTTATAAGATTTATTAAATTAATATATTAAGAGTTTTTCTGATCTGAAGGAAGGCAGCCTTTGAGGCCTGAATGCTGTTTCCTCTTGAATTTTCCAGGTCACTATAGAGGTTGTTGACGGAACAGAGTCTGAATCGGAGAAAGGTCTTCAAAGAGAAAGCAGCAAAACCAGCTGGCCTGTCCCATCCCCAAACTGGAGAAACTGGTGGCAAAGATCCGCGCCTTCCATCACTCGCATGAGTAGTGGTGACCAGGATTACAAATACGACAGCACGACTGAAGACAGCAACTTCCTAAACCCCTTGAATGGCGGATGGGAGAGGCATCCATCAAGTCATCGGATGTTTGAATCAAAGGAGCAGCCTGAATATGGTGAGTGAGCGAAAGCCTCATTGGCAAATGTGTGGACAAAACATAACAAGGGCAGAAGGTTTGTGCACGCTGATAGTGAACACCACGAAAGCCTGGCTGTTGAAAGTAGGCCCAATCTGGGTTGCTATGCGCATGCTGCTGGTTGGACATTTATGTATGTTGTAGTCAGCCCTGGAGCAAAATGTTGCAATGCAGATTTCTACTAAACGTATTCCAGTCAGTCATGCCCTTTTCTACCCACTTTTAATTGTTTTTCAACCCTTTCTAATAATTTGTGAGCTTAAATTGTTTTGCTTTGATTTTGAGCATTGTCCCGTCTTTCTCTTTCTGGAGAAATTCCAACAACCCTGCTTAACCCATCCTTTTTCTGCCTGGGTGGTACCATTTTGACTTTGTAAAGTTCCACAGCTTCTAAACGAGTTCATTGTCAGTACAGAAGCCTTGATGTTGGTGGATAGAATCACATCCACTTGCCTTTCTTTGGAGTCTGATTTTTACCCGACTGTTCCCGCCCCTTCTGTGTTTCCTAATTTTTTTCGTCTCTTCCCTTTCAGATTACATAGAGGGAGAAGGAGACTGGAGTCTGTGGTCAGTTTGTAGTATAACCTGTGGAAGTGGCAATCAAAAACGCACCAGGACCTGTGGATACGCCTGCACAGCCACTGAATCGAGGACATGTGACCGACCAAACTGCCCAGGTAGGAAATAAAGAAAGGAAATAAAGAGCAGAATTGCTCATAGCCATGAGCTCTGTATATGCACCCTCCCCGTGTGTGTGTGTGTGTGTGTGTGTGTGTGTGTGTGTGTGTGTGTGTATCTAGACCAAATCATTTGTAGTACAAGCAGGAGCTGGTCAGGTATCTGGAACTATTACCTTGCTTGTATCTTTGTAAAGCATGGAATGACATAAAGTATTTCCCTGCCTCAAGTCAAAGGCAGAGGTGGTATTCAGCAGGTTCTGACCAGTTCTGGAGAACCGGTAGCGGAAATTTTGAGTAATTCAGAGAACCGGCAAATCCCACCTCTGACTAGTCCTGACCTCCATTTATTCTCTGCCTCCTGAGTACGAGCTGATCGGCTGGGTCTTCTTTTGTTGCCCTGCACAGGAGAACGGAGCTGGAAAACAGATTAGTGGGGTGGGGAGGGAATGGGGATTTTACAGTATCCTTCCCCTGCCACACCCACCAAGCCATGCCCCCAGAACCGGTAGTAAAAAAAAATTGAATCCAACAACTGGTCAAAAGGCTCTTCAATCACACTTTTTATTAAAGTACCTTCCATTTTTCAGTATGGTCTACAGATAGTTGGCAAGAAAAAAGTGCATTTCTTGCAAAATACACTAGATGGAGTAGTACTGGAGTTAAGAATCTCATGGCTTTTCTAATTGTTCGTCCCGTTATTGAGTTTTTATCAATATTAAGATTAATTCAGATTTCAGAGCACTAAGAAAAGTTATACTCTGCAGTGCCTTTCAAGGAAGAGCGGCTGAGATCAAGATATCACATGCCTCCTTTGTGCTGTCTTAGGCTCCTAACTCTGACAGAAGCCTTCTGGTAACCATTGATGAGTTCAGCCACTGCAGTGCTCCCTTTCTAATACTTCTTTCTCACACCCCCATCACACTGTTTGAAAGGCAATTAGAGAACCTCCTCTGTGACTCAGACTGTAACACTTGCTGTACTGAACAATAGCTTCCCAGAAAGTAGCACGCACTCATCTAAAAAGGGGATCTTTCAGCAGTTCACAAAGGAGAATGCTGCTTACTTATTAGGTAATAGCAGGATGGGCCAACTTTTGAAGGGAGGGTGGGGACTCCAACTCTGGTAGATTTGCTGGCTGGCTTCTCTTTCCACCAAGAGAGCAGGGACTTTCCCCGCTGCGTGCTTCTCTGCAAACCAAATGCAAATGTTCAGGTGGCCCCATTAATCCCCATTCAGAATTTTGAACTGTCCTAGGTAAACATGGTTATGGCTGTTTTATGATTTAATGCAAGCAGTAGAGTTAGAGTTGAGTCTAATCTCTTGGTTAGGCAGAAAGTACGACATTCACACATTTCTGTTTGTGAAAATGCAGGTTGCTGATATTATTTATAATTTGGTTGCTCTAAAAAGCTTCAAAGAATAGGCTTGCATGAGGCAAACTCAAGAAGGAGAATGCAGAAAAGGATACATGGAAATGAGAAGAAATCATTCTGCTGTTTCTTCAAATTTCTCAATGCAGTGCGAAGAATCTAAACTGCAGAACGCTGAGTAGGGGCAGGGTTTGACTGCCTTAAAAGTTACCTACTTCTTATTGGAAGTACTTGGACTTTAATTCCTGTTCCTTGGGGGATGGGATCTGAGTGAACTCAGCGGGTTCATGGCTTCCATGTTATCCGTGGGCCAGTCCCAGAAGTCTCAAGCCTGATAAATGCATGGGACTTGGTCTTTGTTTCACGGGTAGATTCAAAATAATCTGAAAATGCAAGATATTGTCATCTGTACTTTGTAGTCAGATCCAGAGGTGGTATTCAGTAGGTCCTGACCAGTTCTGGAGAGCCGGTAGTGGAAATTTTGAGTAGTTTGGAGAACCAGCAAATCCCACCTCTGACTAGTCCTGCCCCTCATCTATTCTCTGCCTCCTGAGTCCCAGCTGACCGGCTGGGTCTTCTTTTGTTGCCCTGCGCAGGAGAATGGAGCTGGAAAGCAGGATAGTGGGGTGGGGTGGGGAGGGAATGGGGATTTTACAGTATCCTTCCCCTGCCACGCCCACCAAGCCATGTCCACAGAACCGGTAGTAAAAAAAATTTGAATCCCACCACTGGTCAGATCCCTTTGTGATGTATGCACTCATTGTTAGCATACTGGACCCTTGCAAAGGTGAGGGACCAATCCAGATGGTCTGCCCCATGCAACTGATGGACCCATTGCGTTTTCTGAGGCACTTGGAGACTTACCCAGCTATCTTGTGGGCAGTTCTGCCCAGCCTCTTGCTCCCTTTTGGAATTGAAAGGAGCAAAAGCATTGCCCCTGGAGAAGATTGCCCTCCCTTCATGATTCCTGAGGGTTTTCAGTGAGATGCTACGGGAGATGAAGGAGGTGAAAAGACACCTAGATGGAAGAAAACAAAGGGTGAATGTAATCACACAATATGCAGCATTCCCGTGTTTGCGAGAATAACATGGATATAAAAATTGTGAAGTCGTGCACATTTCTTCATTGCTACTGCTTTTTGTAGATTTATATCCGGCACCTTTGTTCAAGATTATATTCCTTCCTGGAGAAGGGACAAGTGTGAAGATATTCCTGAAGGCCCATGTGACGTATTAAAGTTCTTTGCAAATAAAATCATTCTCATTTACTTAGAGATGGGTACAATAGCACACTGGCAGGGAATAGCGAGATGAACTACAAGCAGTTTTTGATCTTTGAAAGCAGATATGGATTTGTACTCTGTCACCTATAAGGATTCATGTTCCACCTGGCTTTCTCATGCAGCTAGATGGGGCAAGGGATTGGACTTGAGAGGTAGTTAATTAACATCTTTTTGAAGAAGGTGAGGGGGGGATGCCATCTATCTTTAAGGAGGCAATGCTGAACCTCCTTCTGAAAGGATCTTCTCTCTCAATCCAGCCACTTTAGGCAATGATTAGGCAATCTCCAACCTTCCGTTTGAAGAACGGTTTTGGAGAAGTCATTGGGGCTTTAATTACAGACAATCCTAGATCTCCTCTAGCCAGGTTCCAGATGTGAATATGGAAGGGAACCAGCAGTGGGATTCAAATTTTTTTTACTACCAGTTCTGTGGGCGTGGCTTGGTGGGCGTGGCAAGGGAAAGATACTGTATATTCTCCAGTCAGAGGGGGTATTTGCCGGTTCTCCGAACTACTCAAAATGTCCACCACCGGTTCTCCAGAACTGGTCAGAACCTGCTGATACCCCTCTGAAGGGAACAGTCCTGATTTCCCTCCTACACGATCTTTGTCAGGACCATTACTGCCTTTTATAGTCTTCCATAGCTTGAGTACTTACACAACTTCTTTCACAAGTTTTGGCTCAGCCATGTGTGTTTGTGTGGAGGAAGCATGAATTGATGATTCTCACCCTGCATGTATGTGGTGAAGGGAAACCCCTGGCATGCTTTCTCAGGAGCTGCCCACCTACTCTGGAACTCATTATTTCCTCTGAATCTCCTGGCTGTCAGGAAATATGCTATTCTGCATTGTATTTGGGCGTCAACGGTGTGAGCGTTGCCTTGAGGCTACAGATAGTCCTCCACTCACGAACACAATTGAAAATTGATTTTGCAGAGCAAGACAGTGGTTAACTGAATTTTGCCTCATTTTACGACCTCTTTTCCCATGGTTGTTAAGCGAATCTCTGCAGTTGTTAAAGTGAATCTGGCTTCCCCATTGACTTTGCTTGTCAGAAGGTCACAAAAGGCGATCCCATGACCCTGAGACACTGCAACTGTCATAAATATGAATGAGTTGCCAAGCATTTGAAGTATGATCACGTGACCATGAGGATGCTGCAAGAGTCATAAGTGTGAAAAACAGTCAGAAGTCACTTTTTTCAGCGCCTTTATAACTTCAAACTGTCACTAAACTAGTGATTGTAAGTCAAGAACTACCTGTAGTTCTCAAGTGAATTTCCCCCCCCCCCCAATCTATCATAGTATTTGCTATATTTTAATATTTTGGGTTTATTGTAAATTACTCAGAGTTCAAGGAAGTAGTGGTGGTTAGCAAAATTCAGTTAACAATTGCCTTGCTTAGCAACATGATTTTTTTTGTGGATTTATAAGCTGAGGATTTATTGTATATAAATATAAATACACAATGACAAAAAAAAAGCATACACTTGTAAAGCAAGAAGGTGACTCCTTCCTCCAATTTTCCGGCTGGACCAGCCAAACTTCAGTTCCTCTTTCCTAGCTGAGGAACAGTGTTCTGAGGGGAAATAGCCCATTGCTTACCTAGATCAAGAACCTAAGAGCATCCTCTCCGGTGCCCGTCATGTTGAAAAAGTTGAGACACAGGAGCAGGAGAAAGACTCCTACTGCTGTTTCTTCCCTGGCATTGCCACAAAATAGACCGGAATCTTACGAGGGGTTTGTCTCGCTTCCTTGGATCCCTGAACAAGGAGAAGATAAAGGGGACATGGGCTGCTACTATGGTTGCTGACGAGTTGAATAATGGCAGCAAAAGAAGAGATAAGATTGGTGCTTCTTGACATGCCCTTTGCTTCCTTCCATGCTATTTCTCTACCGTGTATGTTCTTCTTTATTTAATATGCTGCCCCTCTCACTATCCAAAGTGACTCTGGGTGGCTTACGCTGAGATAAAAACAGAAACCTAAAAACATTTAAAGCAGGGGTCCCCAAACTTGGCAACTTTAAGACTTGTGGACTTCAGCAAGTTGGAGTTGAAGTCCACAAGTCTTAAAGTTGCCAAGTTTGGAGACCTCTGATTTAAAGAAACTTTAAAATTAATAGGAATGAAGCTTCTACTATGTCTAGGATTGTTGTTGTTGTGAAGACTGGCAGCGAGGATAGTCTGCATCCTCCATGAGTGTGGATCCCAAAATGGCCTCCTCCACCACCTTCTCTACTTGTACATCCTTGGGAAGAGGCCTCTCATAAAACGGTGGTTTCTTTAAAGCTGAAGATGAATATCCCCAATATTTTCCCTGCCAAACATCTCAGTCACATTGTTTTAATAAGCCGTAACATCAAGAGCACGTCCTGTTTTTAAATAATGATTTGCTAATAATGCTGTTGGAATGCACAGCCTTCATCCACTCGCACTTCAAGCATGCAATAATGAAAAGCTTCACTACTTTGTAGTTTTTGTCTTTATCCAAATGGTTGTAATCTTTAATGATGCCTGAAAAAAGCGGACTTCAAAATACCAAAAAGAAAAGCGCTTCAAAACCTTGTACTCATTTCAAGGCCGTTCTGAATATCGGAGTACACAAACGCTGAGTTTATAACTGATTTATGGTGCACTGGCAAGCAATCATTGTTCATGAGTTTATTACATATGTCTGATTTTTAATGTGCTGGCTTTCTTTTGACATTGTGGTACCCTTCCCAGAGGCTGTAAATAATGTTAAATAAATACTCTTTTTGTAAAATAAATGCATGTGGTGCATCTGCTATTGCTCTCTCTGAGTACAGTGGGACTATTTGAAACAAGCCTGTGTTTTCCTTCTTCCAAATAATTTGTACAGGTCTTGAGGACACATTCAGAACAGCAGCCACAGAAGTGAGCTTACTTGCAGGAAGTGAAGAATTCAATGCCACAAAGCTCTTTGAAGTTGGTAAGCAGATAATAGCAAAAAGGGTGCGGTTCCCCCGCTTAAACTTAGCCTAGGTCCGTGATGGCAAACCTATGGCAAGCATGCCACAGGTAGCATGCAGAGCCATTTGTGCCGGCACTTAAGCTGTAGGCAAACTTACCTCACTGGGTATGTGCGCACCTTGCAGCTGATTTTCGGCCGGTTTGAGGCCTTTTTCGGCCTCCCAAAGGCTCGAGCAAGGCTTCTGCAGACTTTTGCAGGCTTTGCAAGTCAAAAACTAGCCCCATTTCATCACTTCCTATTTTTCCGAAAATACTGGAAGTGACAAAACTGGGCTAGTTTTCGGCCTGCAAAAGCCTGCAGAAGCCTTCCTCGAGCCTTTGGGAGGCCGAAAAAGGCCTCAAACCAGCCAAAAAATCAGCTGTGAGGTGCAGTGCAAGTAAGGGGGCAGTATTGGTGGGTGGGGATTATGCGCACATGTGTAAGGGAGTGGGGGGCATGCATTGCCTTCTGGGTGCTGGCATGCGTGTGCGAGCGTGCAAGCACGTGCACAATTTTTGGCACAGGAGCCCAAAAAGGTTAGCCACCACTGGCCTAGGTGAATATAGGTAGGCCCAAGTTCACTCCCTCAGGATCTTTTGACAGTCATAATCTACACCACCACACATTGATTGAGGGGGGCAGAAGTTGTGATTGAAAGCATCCAGGCAGTGCTACATTTAAGACACCTACCTCAGATTGTATGTTAGAGACTCAGTTGTATATGTGAACAGGAAGTGGCTCTGTATACAAAGGGTCCCTAGTATGAAGTGCGTTCTCAAATCTCACCCTGCCAATATTTTCTAGGTTTTGATTGGAGCCTCCATCAACCTTTTCCAGATCTGTGATTTCCAATGTGGAAATTCTAACAAAAGTGACTGTTTCCAGCTGTATCATGAGCATTCCAAGTTAAATAACAAGATGAAGACAAAAGGCAAGATCTGAATAATACAGCTGAATATAATAAGTTCAGGAAGTCTTCTTGATTAATAAATAGCTTTATAAGATCTATCCACAGTGGTTAAGACATCATTAAGTCAAAGGATCACTTAGGAGTGCAGGCGAAAGCCAAGGATTTCCCTGAAATTTGCAAAATATTTGGACTTTAGATACATATTCACCACCTCATAACTCATGACCATTCCATTAACAGCACATCCTGACTTGGCCAGATTTCTTTCTAAATTACCAAATATTATAAGAGGAATGCAATTCATTTCTGGTTTCAGTTATAAGAGGCTATTTTAATATCAGTTAAAAGAGAATAATAATTAGGACTTAATGCAGCTACTTTGTAAAAAAGAGATAGTGTATAATAGACAAAGACAAATCCAACTTTTATTTTGCACATGCAGCGGCAATAAAAACTTGAGAATATAAGCATTCAAGGAGAAAGGATAGCAGAGATACAAATTGTCACTGACATTGATTCTAAAAAAATTTGCTTTGAGGCTCAAGAATGTGTTCTTTGAAAATAATATTGAAAGCATCTGGATTTATATATTACTTTATTGATTTACTTTTAAATATTTTAAATAGCCTTTGGGGGCCAGGTCCTTATAAGGCAGCTTATCAATTATTTCTGCAATAAAGAATACTTGTATGAAATAATTTAATTCAGTTTATGACTTTAAAACCAGAAACAGTTAAAGATCAATCAATTAATAAGAAAAAAAGCTGCCATAACTCTTGGCTAAAAGCATTGTTTTGTGCTGATTTGAAGCTTGTGCTAAAGGGATAAACATCCAATCCTTGTGAAGAAATTGGGGGAAAACATTACTTTATTAAAAAGTGAAGCAACTCTTTGTTAAAATGTAACAGAGCTACCCATCATTAAAACCTGTCTTTTGACACTTGGGAGATACAGTAAGACAAAGAAGGAGAACCGGTGGTCTTCCCGATGTTATCACATAACCTTAGCACCTCCACTGGGTGCTGGGAGTTGTAGTTTAATAACATCGAGAGGGCAACAGATTCCAAACCAATCAGTAAATCATACACTTACAATGCGCTAATATGGAGTTTGATCTTTTTTTCCTTGTGTCCTCCTTTCTCTTCTTCAGATACGGATAGCTGTGAAAGGTGGATGAGTTGCAAAAGTGAATTCTTAAAGAAGTACATGCACAAAGTAGTCAACGATCTTCCCGCTTGTCCTTGCACATATCCCACCGAAGTAGCTTATAGCACTGCAGAGATCTACGACCGTCTGAAAAGGAAGAACTTTCGCTGGAAAGATGCAAGCGGGCCGAAAGAAAAACTGGAGATCTATAAGCCCAGTGCCCGCTACTGCATCCGGTCCATGCTGTCCTTGCAGAGTACCACCTTGGCAGCACAGCACTGCTGCTATGACGACAGCATGCAGCTGATTACCCGAGGGAAAGGGGCTGGCACCCCCAACCTGATCAGCATCGAGTTCTCTGCAGAACTTCATTACAAAGTGGATATTTTGCCCTGGATCGTTTGCAAAGGAGACTGGAGTAGGTACAATGAAGCCCGGCCACCTAACAACGGTCAGAAATGTACAGAAAATCCTTCGGACGAGGACTATTACAAACAATTTCAGGAAGCAAGAGAGTACTGAAAACGAGCGTGGGAGGAGCCGATTTCTTTGAAAACTTCAGAAAGATGAGTGGCGGTGAAGAGGACACTCCAGTGAATGAACTTTTGAAAATGGGGTTTGTCTCCCCACTTTCTGTACATAGTTGTACAAAATATACATTTTTTCTAAAGTATTTTATTTATGTTTACATGTAGATATGGCATATAGTCCCCCTCACCTTTGTACACAGACATGAGAGTGTCTCAACAAACCTTTATAAAGTGATACTCCATTCAGATGAATTTACGCTCATATACTCCCATAGAGACTACATTACCTGTAGTTAAAAGTGAGTATCGTTGGATTTCACATGAACATTGCTTCTCAATGCCTCAGCCATTCAGAATAAATGCTTGCTATTAGAAAGATCAGCATATATATTGAAATTACCTCTTAGTATTGAAATGGGGTTTTTAGGAATGCATTTGAGGAGAATGTTTTGGCTCACTTAAGAAAATAGTGACCGGATTCATTGCAGATGTGATGAAAGTTAACTCCAAGTCAAATTATGCCTTTGCTTTGCATCAAAAGGCCGAAACTTGTGGCTGACTTTCAGAGAAATCCTGGGCTGGAGCATCTTGACATTAGAGGCTTTTGACTATTCCAAAGTCCTCCCAACAACAGCATGAGATTAGCAGGACCAAGATCTGAAAGGAGTAGCTGTTAACTGCTACTAGTATTATTATTATTATTATTTTGTTCCTATCTATTGGAAGCACTGGGAGGAAGAAGGCGTGTTTGTAGAGCTGTGTAATTTTGCTTCATGATTGTAAAGAGGCAGGATGAGGACTGAAAGCATCGTGGACCCTTTGTATTCTCAGCCCCTGCCAGCCTGCTGCCACACACCTTTTTCCCGTGTGGTTTTCTGACATTGGAAACAACAGAGAGGTTGGGGGAGTGATGGAAACGAGGATCCAGTGTCAAACTACCCACTCTGACATTACAATACTGTCTCTGAGCCTGGAGCCAAGGAAAGGAACAAGTCCTCCCCTCTCTTCTCCATTCAGTCCAAACAATGACAGTTTAATAAACCCCTACAGTCTACCTGACACAGGGCTCCCTTATCCTGCCAAAAGCATATGTGTGCCTATCAGATAGGATTGCGAAGTCAAGGAGCAGCAGAAATTTTAAAAAAACATTTTTTAAAATACAAATGTGTTCATTAAGTGATCTCTTTAGAGATAGATATGGATAAACACCACACACACAAATGTGTTTAGACCTATTTAAGGGCAGAAGGCAGAAGACTGTTATTTGAGAAGCAGGTAGATGCATTCATAAGCAACGGTTTTAAGGAAGCCCCAGAGTGTGGAACAAAATTGTGGTTCACATCCAAAGGATCTGGAATAGCAGTACACCGCAAATCTGACTAGCGAATTGGGAAAGCATCAAAGGGGTTTCGGCCTCCAAAAGTATTTGGTGAAAAGATGACGTGTCATTTTATGGCTGATAGGGCTTGTTTCCTCCACCCTAACTGCTCACAAATAAACAGTTTCTGTGTTCATCCTCTGATTTGGGATCTGTGTACATGATAATCATCCCCTCTATTAAAGGTGCTTTAAATTCCTCTTTGCTAGCAGTGCAGAGACATGTTCTCTATGCCACTGCAATGTAGGCCAGCAAAGCTGAGTTCAGTAGATACAAATTGTACCGCTGGCAATGGGATTTAAATGGCATTCTGATGCATTCATAGATCTAGTATTTTTTTAAAAAAGGCCCCTTTGACTGCAGAGCCTGCCATACACATGCTGCTTGGGGTTTAGGGAGATCTATTGCAGGGAACAATTTAAACCTGAATTCTTGTGAGGGTTTAATTGTATAAGCACACCTGAAAGGACATCTTTCTGGAAGAGAATTGATTTTAAACCTCTTGCCCTCCCTTGCTTTTCTATTATATTGCAAATACATGCAATGTGTTATTTAAAAAAAGAAACTATCCTTATCTTTCTAAAAGATTAATCAGTTCTGGGTGGGGATTGTCAATCCCTTAATTTAAGCATATTACATTTGTAGCATACATATTTATTCATCTTTAGTTAATAAGAATTTGTAAAGTTAAATTTGAAAGTTAGAAACTTTCTGGTAACCCAAGACCGTTCCATAATGAAATTACATAACAATCCAAAGCAAACTTACAAATGAAGAAATTCTGAAACATCCATTAGTTCGTGTTCTCATTAAGTCAGTGCTAAAAGTTTCTTTTAAAATGCTCCAGTGAAGAAATCCAGCAGAATTTGTGAGAACCAGCCCACTGAATATGTCTTGATAGAGTAACTTCATGGCCAAGTTTTATCTATGCAAGAATAGCTTCACTCTTAATGTTACTCTTTGTGTGTGTGTGTGTGTGTGTGTGTGTGTGTGTTTGTGTGTTTGTGTGTGTGTTTTAATAGCAAACAGCTAAAGAAGGAAAAATAAAAAATAAAAATTCTGTAACATACTATTACTTCTACCTACTGTAACAAGACTCATTGAGGACAAATGGAGGACATTATTTTAATGCATATCTTTCACCTCATTTATTTGAAATCCAAGGGCATTTAACCTGCCAAGACAGAAATCCTTTGGCAGCCTGTAGCAGTATGTTTTCAAAATCATTGCTGCTTTTTCCACACTAGTTCTGGAACATTTTAAAAAGAAAACTATTTCTCCATCTGTGGTCCTTGGTGATTATATTTCAAAATAATATCATAGTTACTGATTTCGCTTGGAAAAAAATATTTTAGCTTGCTAGATGTTTCTTTTTTAGTATCTCATTGACTAATGTAACAGAATGTAGTCTGCTTGCACTCTTTACTCCAATTTGCAGGATTAAATTCATACCCCAAACTCCGGGAGGTTTAGGCAATAAAGTGTGAGCCTGTGTATAAATGTAATACGATCTTTTGTTACATAAGTGCATTAGAAAACCCATCATATCAAGTAGTATCCAATTCATGGAGATTTACCTGGGATAATATGCTTCACTCCTCTCTCTGGAAACTGCAGTTATAGTGATATGCCATCGAGTCAGGTCCACGCCTTGCCTGGCAAATGTTTTGACAATTGCCTTTCAGTTTTCCCTGTTCCGACTAATACAGTAATACAGAGTTCTTCCAAAGGTATTCTTGCAATCTCATCAATTTTATCCACCTCCCCTTACGCGTTGTGTCTTCCTCTTTGACTTCTCTTAAACTTTCTATTTTTTTTTAGTCTAGTTCAACAAAAATGTGTGAACCCCTGCTTGCTGTTCACCTCCCGAACAGCCAACAGTCAATGTTAACTTCATCTTGGATTCAGAGACACTTTTAGGAATTATCTTCAAATCCACAATTCAAAAGCATCTTTCTTTTAGCCCTTCTCAAAATCCAGCCTCCATAACTATATATTAACACTAAAAAAAATGCTTTTTTAGTGTTCTTTATTTTGATTGTTTTAAAAGTATCCTGGTCTTTCAGGATTTTGTTTATGATGGTCATTGTATTCCTCCCTCAGATTATTTCCTCTTTATTTCTCCAATATATTGTTTAACTTCATTCTTGAGCACCAAAAAAAAGAAAAAAATAGTAGATATATCTACCACCCCACCCTTACCCCACTTTCTTGTCAATTGTGAGTTTATCCTATATGCTGGATTTTGTTTACATATTTGTCATTAACTCAAAATTTTCATATGCCATTTTTATGCTCAGAATAAATTCTGTGTCTCTTGGTGTTTAATTGTCTATGCCATGACTGAGTTTATATACTTAACTATTTTGAACCAACTGTGGATTTCCTTTATAAACATTCAGCAACAAATTGCATACTCCTGCTATGTGCATTTTTCCACTTGCCATAAATATCTGCCTTTCAGTGTATCAATCTCCCAGTCGCTGTCATGGGTCAAGGTCAAGATGCACGTAGGAATTTTGAGCAGCCCATTACCAAAACAGGCAATGATATAGCGAGAAGAAAAGGGAGGAAGACTTGGAGTCTGGAGAAAAACAAGGAGACTTCCAGGATTACTTAGCATGTAAACTATACACTAGGTTGGGCAGCTGACAGTCCTAAAGCTATATACAGCCCTTGGATTGTTTCCAAGAGTTCTCCACAAGCAATCGGCTTCGAACACGAGCAAGCACAAACTGAGAGAGACAGAGGCCCGAAAAGGAATGTCAGGAAGAGGGAAGCAGGAAAGGAAAGAGAGAGACAAATTACCTGCTTCCATGCCTGCTAACCCACCCACCCTTGCTCTATCCCCGCAGGTTAGACCAGTGGATTTGGCTGTTACAAGTTCCTTAGATCAACGGGTTAGATCCAGATGTAGGTATATGCGAAAGTTATGGAAAAATGTCTCCTCCTTTACTCCTTTTTCTAAAAAACAAAAAAAACAGCCCAGAATGTTCTAGATTAAAGGGATTCCAATGTATGGAATGAGCCACGTGACAGGGAAATCTTGACTGAAATTTCTGGGCCTGCAGGTGATTAGCGTGGGGCAGGGGTTAGGGCAGTGCCCTTAACTAACCCAGTTGGGAAAATTAGGCTGCAGCCTAATGAGATTATTTGTTTGAGTGATGGCCAAAAACAAAACAAAACAACCAATAAGATACTGACAAAACCAAATTGAAGACATAAATCACTGCAGAGCAAATAACCTTAGACCAGCTCTGTTGCCTTAATACCGAAGATAAAAGTAGGATAAGGAAGGCCTGTTGCATTGACCCCCCACTAACTGGCTAAAGACATAAGCTGAAGGTATTTTTCAGCATGGAGGAAAAATGTATACTCATTAACTCTCCCCATCTCCAAAGGAGTAAGAAGAAGGTTTATTGAAGTGAATTTGTATCTGGTTATAATTCTTGTTTTTTTTTTCCCCCAGTGGAAAGTTGCTGAGGCAGTTTCCATTCTACTATTCCCACAAGGTAGAAGGAAAATTAAGGGGCTGACATAGTAATTACTTGTCCATGTCTGTGCCTACACATATGTAAATAAAGACAGGAAAACTTTCAGTCATTCACTCTTCAGTTCTCTCACAGATGTCAATACTGTTAGAAGTCCTTGGAGAATCCACAAGGTAGCCACAACTACAATTATTATTATTATTATTATTATTATTATTATTATTATTATTATTATTATTAT